GAGTATTGTTTGGAGAAGATGATGTTGAAGTTGCGGCAGCTGCCCGATATATAGCAGAGCAAATCAACGTAGACAAACCATTGTTAATTTCAATATCTTTGAAAGATTACGAACCTGACACTTTAAAAACTATAATTACGGCTATAAACGATATGAAAGCGCGATAACGTTATAAAACGACAAAGCAAATATGAGTTTAACATTTGGTCAATTAGTTATCGGTCCACCTGGAAGCGGGAAAACTACATATTGTCACGCTATGACTAAATTTTTAGAAGAACTTGGAAGAAAAGTAGCTGTCGTTAATATTGGTAAAAATTATACATCACAACATCTCAACGATTAATCGCGACTGAAACTTTATTCGCGTATCTAAACGAACGTATTAAATAAATATTTCAGATCCTGCGAACGAAAACATGGAATATACACCAGCGGTAGATATATCCGAATTGATCAAACACGAGGAAGTAATGTCGCACTATGGACTTGGTCCAAACGGAGCACTAGTGTACTGTATAGAATTTTTAGAAGCTAATGTAAAATGGCTAATTACAAAAGTTTTAAATTTGAAGGATTATTATCTTATATTTGATTGCCCAGGGCAGGTACGTGTTCATATATTTATATAAATATCGCACTACGAGATATATCTTTTATTTTGTATCTTTACAGTATTTTATTTTTATTGTTTATCAACAGGTTGAGTTATATACACATCACAATTCAGTTAGCGTAATTGCCGAGAAACTGGGACAAAACTTGGTAAGATTATGCAGTGTACATCTCGTTGACTCCCATCATTGCAGCGATGCTGGTAATCTCTACGTATAATACATTACGCGTAATATATGATAATCCTTGAAAAGACTCGCGCATTAAAAAATATTATCGTGTAATTTTTTTCGATTACAGGCAAATACTTATCTTCTCTAATCCTTTGCACGACGACTATGTTAAAATTGGGTTTACCTCACGTCAACGTGATGACTAAATTCGACGAAATGAAAAAATTTAGTCGCCGCCTAGATTTCAATATAGATTTTTATACAGAGGTGTTGGATTTGAACTATTTGTTAGATAAATTAGACGAAGACCCATTTACATCAAAGTAAAATTTTTTACCGAGTTTTGTTATTCTTTGATAAGATTTCTGCGATTCGAAATACAAAACTTCGAATTTTACATTTACAGGTACAAAAAATTGAACGCAAGTTTCGTGTCGATGATACAAGATTACAGTCTTGTTAGTTTTATACCGTTAGATATTTCGAATCGAGCATTGTTATTGCAAGTAAAAAATGCAGCGGATAAAGCCAATGGTTATATCTTTGGCGGAAACGAGCCTCAAGATGTTCAAACTTTACTCGCTTGTGCCGTCGGAGCAACGAGCGAAACTGAAAAAACGTCAACGATGGATGCATATTTTTAAAGAATTTATTTTATAAAAAAAATCATTCGATTAAGTTCTCTTTTCTATATTCAGATTCCTCGATATATCGATAGTAATCTAATGTATCTATTTAATAAAATGTATTACGTTGACGAACATAGTTTCGCTAATTTATCATCATTTTGACTAGTCCATTTGGCTGACAAATATTTGCGCCAAGTCGTCATAATCGTATACTCTTTTTAAAAATGTATCCGTTAATTTTAATCCCGAAATTGTCTAAAATATATATAATGATAT